AGGCTGCATGCCCTCTTTCCGGTTCCATACCTTAGTAAATTCCTTTCCTACCGTCGTTCAAAAATTAAAAATTAAATGAATTTTCCTTTTGTTCTCCGAAATATATATTTTATAAATTTTAAAGCCAATGGATTAAAAGAAGTATTTTGTAGCTTATTTAAGCGGCTATGTTAAATTAGACCTGAATTATTATATTCGGCAATACTAGATAAACATAATACATTTTTGAAATTACCGAAGCTCAAATAATGAACATCTTGAAAAAAATCAGATGTACCCATGTATGTTACAAGTATCTTTCTTGGTGCAGTAAGCGTGCAAAAAAGTAAATGGAAAACATGCTATCATCACATGCGCACGTTTCCACGCCCTTTGATCTGCTCGTCAAGAACCACCTTGTTCAAATGATAACAAAAAAAAATACTTCAACATCAGCCCTTCCACCAACATCACTTGCCCTCCAACGAAAATATGCTACGGAATTATTCTCAACACTCGTCCCATCAAGGATTTACAAGATGAACTTGACGATTGTAATATTCTCGAAATTTCACAGACAAAAGATCAAAAAACATGACGAATTGGAATATTCTGTACTCACTGCACAAACACATCATTTTCTCTATCTCTCTCTCTCTACTAGTTTGCTCTTGAATATTAAAATATCAATAAAAAAAGCAAGACAAGAGTGTCTGAAGCATCTAACCGAAGTACTACAATCTTGCTACAATCCAGAGTGCAGTCCTAGCTAGTACAGCGTATTTTTACCTAAATTCCTTTGAATTCATTCGTTTGATTCTTTTAGAAAAAAGCTCGTCGAATTTTTGAAATGTTGAAGGTGTGAGCGACTATGATACCGAAGGTTAGAAAGTCCTGATGTAGACGTTATTTCATAAATAGTGGATATATCTATTCAAATGCGTAAGGAGGATCCAGGGCTAGCCAAAACAATCAATTTAATAATTTAGACAATAAGGTAGATACAAAAAGTTCTGAACAATAATCAACGTTTAGCTCAAGTTCATGATTATCAGACAAAATTTTAGTATGAATTGCCTTTTAGTCCTTTTTTAGAGGTCCTGTTAAAAATATAGTTATCATACGTTGGTATCTACAGCCCTTTAAACTGACTATTTTTGAGAAACGGATTTAGTTTTGTCAGTTGAATGAAGTAATTTTACGAATTTACAACATAACGATTGATGTATGAGAACCAGTTTCAAGGTATTATAATTGCAGTTCACGCATAGTTCTATACCAAGATCGACATACGCCGACCTGTTAAGACTAACGAGCAAACGAGCATGTCACATGCATCATTAACATCAGCATCAGGAAGAGTCAAAGCAGAAAGGCGACGTCTGCCTTCTTGTCATGAGACTCTTGCCACGGCCGACCGCGACGACTGCATTTATAAATAGCCCCTTTAATGTAAGCTGGCAAATACGATATAATTCTTTAATCTGTCGGATATTTTTAACTACTGGTAAAAGATACGACTTTTTCCGGTATTTTACTGCTTCAACTACTACTACAAAAAAACTATATTAATAAAGCATGGGACACAAATATGAGAAGCTAAGACTCCTTTACGAAGAAAATTTTATGTTAAAAACGCGCGATATTTTAATAGGTATACACTTTGTAGCGACTCGTAAGTATGCAATTACATACGTTATTTTAATTGACTAATACAATAAACCTTCAATAGTGACAAAATTCTTAGCAGTTTAGTTTTATAGTGGTTAACGTTTGTGTAACACACATTTTGCAATTAACCCTAGACAAAAACAAAATTTTCAGTCTCTCTGCAGTCTCTGAGTCTTTCAGCGTCTCTGAGAGCGTCTCTCACAGTCTTTCACAGTCTCTCAGTTATTGCCCAGGTGTTTTTATGGATCTCTCACAGTCTCTGTATGAGAGACTCGAACGATNCCCCTTTTTCCTTTTCAAAACTTCCCTCAACGTTTCTATTCCATTGCCACCATCGCCCATTATCCATCCGTTTTCATCCATTCCTTCGTTCTAAATATATCCTCCCAACACATGCATGCGAGTTCCATACTCCCTTTCACACATTCTGCATCTTTCATCCTCTTTCATCCGGGATTTACATTCCCTACTTTCATTACCCACTCTAAACCTTGCTAATATATCAATTTCCTTCTCATCTCCCACATACTTATATCGGTATCAAATCTCCTTGCCGCGAATTCCACATTAATAATGTTAGTCCTAATGCCTATCTTCAATCTTCTATTGTTGCTAAGTTATCATCTCCATCTTATTACACTTTGTATCTTATCCTCAGTAATTCATTTCACGGCTTGTTGTTGATTCTCGTAATATTGTAATTAAAACGTTGATATTAATAGGGGAAGAAAAAGAAGACCCGCACTGAATATTGTACGAACGAAACGTACAAAATTAACTGCAACAGCGTTTTCTCTTTTTAATCTGCACAGCATATATTTCTATATTTAGAGACAAAACTATTACGTACCTCTGATATTTAACAGAAGTCAATGGCTGGTGTAAATATAAACAGATGCACTAGTCAAATGTTCGAACATTCCACATTTCAGACTTTAATTAATTAATCTGGACATATACAAAAAAAAATTTAATTCGTTAACGTTTTCTTATTAACGACGTAAGGGTAGAAGTAACTGTTTATTGTTTTATTTGCTAGAAGACACTGAAGTTTACTTACTTTTGGATGTTGTTGTTGTTAGGAGGCGGCATTGGAGTCGGGATTCGTGGGGGAAGAACGGGAATTGGAGTGGATCTTCGCTTCCCCAATCGATTTCGATAAGACTCCATTTCGAACTGTAACAAACAGAAAACAAGATTTAATGGTAGTAGACAATATCTTGTAATAATAAAAGGCATTAAATTGGTTGAACTATGAATTTCAAATTGAATTTTGTATTAGACTTCAGTTGTTTGAACCAAATCAAAGACAATCATAATTTTCTGCTGGTGGTATTTGGGTCCCGTCATGTGATTGCTCATTGAGGTTTCTCCATTCGAAACTTACCGCCCTTTTCACCCTTTTTTAGGGGTGAAATTTCAAACAAATATCTCGTACGTTATTAGATCCCTAGACTATTGAAGTTTTTGTCACTTCATATCATCGCTTTAGGAATGAAATTTCAAAAAATCCCTATTACCGTACCTCTAGAATCCTCAAGGAAGTTTCCTTCTTATTTTTTAAACTTTAGGTCCGCCAATTTAAACTGTACGTTGTTTTTCAGTCAGTTACATTAAGACCCTATTGCATCCCTTAAGGGACCGAATTTGTAAAAATCCCACCTGTCAACCCCTACACTATTCAGGGAATATTCCTTCCAATTTTTGAATCATCAAGTCTGTCGATTTAGGCTGCATGCCCTGACTTGTCCCTTGTAGGAATCGAATTTGAGAAATTTCCCCCTTAGTAAAAACTTTTTTAAAACTTTTGGGTGTTTCATTCCCACCAGTCAGTAATGCTGGTGGGCGGCCAGTCCCTCCGGACTATGCCGGAAGGTAGGGCGGAAGGCCCTCTTCAGCCCTGGAATGGGTGGGTGGTGGTTCGGGTGAGAAAGATGAGACGGACGAAATGAAGACAGAAGAGAATGAAAGATTATCTCTGGAATATTACTGCCTCAGCATTTGCCCAAGTGATCCAAGGAAACCACAGAAAAACTTGGACCAAGGCAGACGGACCCGGAATCGAACCGGCGTCCTCCCGAATGGTAAGCAATGGTCTAGACCTCTAGGCCATGCCGCTCGGTCCCCCTTAGTACAAAAGCGGAGTGTCACTTGTGATTATTACAAAATAATAACTTCTTCACTGGTCTTGATTTGTAGTATAATGAAAATTTATTGCAACAAAGCGAATTTGAACCTAACCGTATTTTCTGACAATACTACCTAACCTTATTCAAGCAAGTTTATAAAGTATGAGACGTGTCGTAAACGCGTTTTGGATTAAAAACACATCATAAGTGAAACAGGATTCTGTTTTCGCTTTCTACACAACTCCAGTCGTATACGAGCGACATGCACATCATAAATTGAAAAGTCAACGTTCGCATACATCTGGATATTTTTTGCTAGCGTTTTGTTAATGTAGCGCACGTTGCTTACGTGGAGTGACGATGTGCGCTTATTGTATCGGAAAATTAACTTTATTGATTAGAGCACTCAATATTTATAGGTGAAAATTCAAGTGGAAAAGGGGTCGTAAGTTCGTGTGCTCCCCGTTCGGGAACGTTGGCTAATTGAAAACTTGCACACATTGTTTATTCTGCACGGATGGTTCCATGGATCGCAAAAGTGTTCGATAAGTGGCGACATGCAAATGATGGTAAAAAAAATATTCTGTTCTTCAGCCATTCCATATCACCAACCATTAGCATTGCATATACTTTTCGCAGGGTGTAATTTAGTGATGGCTTTCCAATGCTTACACATACATCACAAACTACGCTAAAAGTACGCCTTTTGTCTTAAAATGTTTGAACAAGTTCATAGTTCAAGTACGATGGAATAGTCAACAGTTAATTACTAGTGTTTATTAGTCTGTGATGCTACAATATCCACCTTATTTTTACGTCAATATATCGTAGGTACTAACGGTGCTTCTTTTAGTAATTTATTTTCATTTACATTTTACCGATTCGAATGGTAAAAATCCAAGCGGTTGTGCTCGGACACCACAGGTAACTTATGAGTACATAAACGACACAAAAAATATATGGACACCATTTAAATAACTTACACGAAGGACAACAGTTAAAAGGGCCCAACCCAAACATGTATACCAACAGGTACAGATTTATGTCTACGAAATCGTATGTTGACCCTGATTGCGTTCTAGTTTTATCGGAGAGTTCCCATAAGTCGGTATTCTTGTTGCTGTGTAGTTGTTAAATGAAAAATGGGAAATGCAGTTGATAATGAAAAATGGAAATTAAGAATTAAAAAACTGAAATATAATAGGTATACTTTGCATGTTAACGAATCCGACAATGTAGTGGTTTGAAAACGAATTCGTTCAAGAAAATTGTCAATTTATCTGGCATCTCTAAAACTACCTGATAGATACATAATATTAGCATGCACGAATTTTTTCAATGAGCAATGGTATTTATATTGAAGTACAGTAAAAGCTCTTTATTCGCGGAGTGTACGTTCCATAAATATGCCGCGAATACAGAAACGATGAATATGGATATAAGGGATTCTAAGGTTCCAAAATAAAACCAATATGTATCAGAATAAAATCAATTTATTGAGAAATTTAGACAAGGGTTTAAAAAATTTAGTGATTTGTTGTTTTGAGTTAGTCCACTCAGTTACATCTTTTATAAAAGTCGCCTCGGCATATACCAACAGTACATGCTCAAAAGATGCCGATACATTAAGGGGATTCAGTAATACATGCGTCATAGAGTAAAAACATGCTTATCGGTTCTAGATATCATGACTTTAATATTTGGAACAGAGGTTTGAAATTTTGTAGAAAGATAGATATAGCTTTGTTCTAAAGCCTGTCGAAGGCCATTTTTTATTTTTTTTATTTCTATTGAAAATACGTATCCTACAAAAAGCATCAACTTTAAACACTTGTAAAAGCTTTCAATGACCATATGACTGAAAACCAAAAACGTAACGAGTTAGTGTGAACTTTTGTTCGTTACCATACAAAAAAATCACATATTTATCTCACAGCGTTAAATCACAATGTTTAGAATAGAAACCCATGTTTTCGGAAAAATTCACACTAGGCACGAGCGGTCTATTGCGGTCAATCCCCTTAATAAATGACACCAAATCCTTTTTTGTTTACCGATTGCATCAGCGAATAATGAAATTTTTAGACGTGAATACTGGGTTGCAATTTTTCACCCGCGAATAATGAAAACGCGAATAAGGAAACCTTGAATAAGAAACTTTTACTGTATTTTTAAAATTTGCAATTTAATCGTTTCTTAAATTAACTAAACATTAACCAGTGGTATTGCCGAAATAGATAAAAGATTCTATCTTCAAAAGTGTTACATTAACATTGTCTCCAAATGCAAATTCTAATCGAAATCCAAAATATTCGCGAAAAGCAATTTGGTTGCCAGAATTTGGTACCCACATGTCGATAAGAAACAGGTACATAAAGAACATCAAAAATCTGACTTAATAAACGGTCCATTGAAGCTACCATCAAAATATATGGACTTTGGCGGCGTAAATAAAGAACCAAACTACACTGTGATGTTACAGCGTAGATCACCGAATAAATAAACAGTGGCGTTTACTTTGTTCGCTAAGTACAGCATGCCAACTCAAGCTTCATAATCGGATTTTGGTTTGTTCGTCGGACGTTTAGTAGTTAGTTTATGTAGCGTGTAAATAGCGGTCGTTCTAAAACACCACAGAAACCAATAAGTAAATTGCATTTACACTCAAAAGCACTGAGAACATTTAAACGAAATTACACCATGTAGTAAAACCTCTACAGTCGATAAGTTAATGTTCAAGGGAAACGTTAAAAAGAACAAGTTGCAAAGCTGTATGAGAAATAATAGTATGTTACACCACCAAGGGAAAACACTACGACATTTCCTCCTGGGTGTGAATTGCTGCCCGAGACGAAAGCTCCCAGAAGGGGATACCGTACTTTTTTCGTATACAATTTTTTACCATATCGCCAACCCGAAAGTACGACCTCCCGATTCCTGCGTGGAAATTGCCACTATCAGAGTAGAAAATATACGAAGGATGGTAAAATCATTTCCTAATAAGGAGTACTTAAATGCGACTTCTTCCCTTGGTGCGTAATATATACTTCGTTTACTTTCTGTAGCGATGTAACCTTCAGTTTGACCGGCGGAAGGAAGAAAAGAACAGCACTAGGCCAGAAAAGGAAGGAGAAAACTCTCGGCCAAACTCTTAACCGGTGAGGAGCGTAAAATCCGTACAATACTGCACGGAAAAATTGACCATTTTATCCACTACAATTGCATTGCTCAAATGTGCTGTTATTGGTACCATTTACTACTGAAAATATCAACGAGATGTTTATTTATATTTGAAGACATATTAAAGGCTTTAACGCTTGTTTTCGACTCGCACTACTATCATGATTGAACAAAACTTTTGGCAGGTACTGCATGAAAAAGTATGTTTAATGAACAACAGCCGAGAGTATAATGAGCTATTTTCTCCCTACCTACGATTTTACCAGCGCGCATCCAAAACATTGGAAGGGGCACATCGCTACAGAAAGTAAATGAAGTATACCTACTATTTTCTCTCAAGAAAAAAAAAGAAAGATGCATAGATAGTATGTAATTCTGAATTATTTTTGTTGGCGATTCGCGGAACGGCTAGTCTATTGTACGGTTTGATAAATCCTTTCGGTAAATCCCGAAATACGTACTAAAATTAAATTTCAAATTAGGACAACCTAAATTCACTATAACGTAATTATTTATTTTTAAATATATACTAGTTTTAATAATTTCTTATTTCCTCTTCATTTTATCCACCTCTTAAAGGTTAGGTTTAGACTAACTAAATGTAAAATTTAATCCAAGATTACATGCTTCAGGGGTTTGACCAAAGACATTGATCGATGCCAAAATGGTTTTATAGTGAATTTTAATTTTTTTAATTTACTATGTATACCTTTAACATTTAAAAAATTGCAAAATTAATTTATTATTATCAACTGAGTATCAAATGCGATAAGCACACTTATGTTCAGATGTTTATTTTTAAGCATTTGTAAGTTACTAGGTACTTGGATTTGCCTTATTGTGGTGTTTGATAACAGTAACACAACT